AAAAAATTTGACGAAAATTGACCCATTTACCGTCTCTGAACTTAATGTTGCTTAATTTTTTGTTAACCAACAAACGACAATTACCATCGACTTTCAACTCTGATATATCACCAGACGTCCCGCCGTATATCCAACAAAATTTCAACTTTTCTCCTACCGTTGTTTCTTTTACTTTTCTACTTTTACCTCCCTTCTCCTCTCCCCACTCCTCCTCGCCAATAAGCCCGCTTTACTATTGTCTTGGCAGTTACTACTAAAACAAAAAAAAAAAAAAGCAAAGATTGGCTAAGAAACAATGATATATTGGTATATAAGTGACATATGCAATAAGCCAAGAAGCAGTAATGGGAAATCTGAAGTGTAGTACAGCTATAAAAAAAAATTTTTTTTTTTTCTGATGAACATAAAACTACATTATATCTGGCGCACAAAAGGAAATAAAAATGTTGCTTATCACAGCAGAAAACAACAAGAATAAAAAAAAAAATTTACAAGAAAAAAAATTTTTTTTTTACAAATTATAATTTTTCCCAGTTATTGTTCGCTGATGCTACTGAATAATAGTGCAAAAGAAGAAGAATAAGGAGAAGCAGGAAAACCCGTTATGAATAGACAGTGACGAGATTCATTAGAAAATATAATATACAGAATTAACATAGATTGAAAATAAGAGAAAAAATAATAAAACAAAACAAAATTTGCATAAATTTAATTGACACAAAAATCACAGATATATAATCAAAAAAAAAAAAAGTAACACAGTATAAAAATATAAAGTTCTTGCTTTTTTTCCGAGTACATCTCATTGACTAAACATCCGAAGTATGAAAACTGTTCCAAGAAGTATGTAAAATACAAAATATTTTTATCATATATGTTCACCAAGAAGAAAAAAAAAAAACAAAGGAAACAGAAAAAAAAAGAAGTAGATAATATATCTTCTGAAGAAAAAGCAGTTAAAAATTTCAAATTTATATATATATACAGAAAACGAAAAACAAAAATCATACTGTTTGTCACCAGTAGTCCGCATCTTTGAAATTTTTTTTTGATTATTGAATATTTCACTTTTTTTACTGCATTTACATAAACAATTTTTAAAAAAAGGTACTTTAGTTAGTTAATTCTTCCTACTATAATATACTGTTCAGAAAAATTTTAGCAAAAATTTGTGCTAAACATATAATGCTCTTGTTGACAACGACTTAAGAACCAATTATGCAACCCGTTTGAAGTTTGTGAATAGGCTTCAAGAGCACTGGATTGTTGCTGTACTGCAAATGGGATACTTTCAACGCTGTTCTCATAAGGTGATGATGCGCTTGGCAAAACACTTGTACACTGATTCGAAGCTGACGACTTTATGCTGCTAACCGACGGTTTCAGGCTTACATCATACCGCTTCTTAAAATTATGCAGCCAATGTTCGGAAAATAAGCATCGGGCTGACTTCGTCGCCTCCTGTAATACTTCTGGACATAACTTCATGGCCAATTCGCGAGCTTGCTCCTGTAACCATCGATTTGACACTCGTTCACCTTTGTTATGTTTGGCTTGTAATCGGTCAAATAGGATTCTCTCAACGTTGGGAAACTGAACTTTTCTGCCTCGTCTGCCGGGCTCAGTGCCAGTGTTATTCTTTTTGCACAACCAGGGGTACCGTTCGTAAAATGTCAATATTGGCGGTTGGCCTGGCTTATTTAGGACTTCCTTCGCCTGTTCCTGTCCAAAAATTAGGGATTCATTTTGGCTCACCATCTCTTCGCTTTCATTCAACAGATCGGGACTTTCACTTTTATAGCTTTCGCAGTCCAAAGCTGAATCTTCCATTTCGCTCGTTTCGTAATCTGCACTATTTTCGCTCTTAATTGGAGATAGCTGTCCGTGATTTTCTGTACCACTTGATTCAGAGCTTGCAGAGTCTATTGAACTAATACTGGCTGTTCCTGTTGTCCACTTACGGTGCAAATTTATATGGTAACGCTTCTTAAAGTTACTTAGCCATCTTTCACTAAATCGACACATTCCAGTGAGTTCCTGTTGTGAGCATTGCTGTTGAGCAAGACTTTTTGCTGTGTCTCTGATCCATCGATTACCGATTTTTTGACCATATTGCAATCGTTTACAATACAGGTGAAACAACTGCTTCTCGATGTTTGGAAATTGCGGTTTTCGGCCACTTCTCCCTGATTTTAAGGAACCAGGTCGTGATTGAATAATCTTGTCAAGTTTTTGCAGCCATCCATTTAGCATAGATTTAGTTATCTGGAATTCTTTACATGTGCGATACTTATTTTGACCATGTCTGTGATAGTAGTTAATAACCATAAGTTTGAATTCACGTGGGTAGGACATTCGATTAGGACTTAATTTAGAAGCAATCCAGTTTGTATTCGATTTAGTACAGGTCGGTAAGAGCGTTTTTGGCGTTAAGCAAACACGATTTGTTATTTCGTGCTTCGTTTCTTTGCCGAATTTTTCAGCCACAACATTTTTTCCGGATCGGCTTAAATCCAGTGGTAGGTCAGTGTTGTCATCAACATCAGGAAAATTACTGCTGACAGAATAAAAGCTTCCCGATATAGGGTGAATTGGAGTTGGCCGATAAAGAATATTTGGATTACAGTGTTTTCCGAAATTATTCTGCAAAAAATCTGCAGCAGTGCTGTTGGCTATTGTATAATCTGTATTCTCCTGTGGCCAACTGCCTGATTTTGCTAGAGTCGTGGTTGGAATAGTGAAAAGCGAACTGTCAGTATATTTGGTAACTTGGGAATTTGGTACTGGATGATACGAGTAGGGTGCTGTTATTGGGGATGGTACTGTTGAAGGGGTTGTTAAACGCGAAAGGTCCATACCGAACGATCTAAGAAGGGGAAAGTGAGAACCGCAACCAAATTGACTGTGGGTGTGTGCTTCGCTGAAGAAGACGACGACGACATTGACAAAGGTCGTCGGGTGTCCCGATTGTTAGCCTTCAAATCACGGCAGCATGGGGTTCACCTAACCCATGAGTCCAATCAGAAATTCAAGGTCATTTCGCTGAATATTCTACATTGCTACAATGCTAAATCACCGTTCAGTTCGTTGGAAAGTAGTTTATTGTTCGTTTCCCTAGATACAAATTTAAGATTTTTTGATGTTTACTTTTTTTTTGGTCAAACGTGGCAAATTGTTTCATTTTTAATATTAAAAAGATCTTTTTTACTTAAATGTTTTTATCGTTTTCAAAAATAATGGAAGAGAAAAGGAAATTTTTGATAAGGAGAAGAATATGAGAATGGTGAAAAATATGGCGATGGGAGGCAACAGCAGAGAGGGAGAAGAGGAGTGAGGGGGAGAGAGAGAGAGGAAGAGGAGGCCGCGTAATCTTAATTCTTTTTTTTTTTTCAAACTTTTTGTAATGATTCTATTTTTAGAATTTATTTGATAGTTATGCATTTAATTTTGAACAATAGGTACAGTCAGTTAACTAAGGCTTTCAAAAAAAAAAACTTTTGAAGAGAAACGGAAAGGTCAAGCAAAGTTATGAGGTAAAAATATAATAATTTTTCATTTTTTTTTTCTGCTCCAATGTTCTGTTTGGAACAGTTGTACAATTGGATAGACAATTTTGCTGAATGAGAACGTTCAAAATTTTCAACTGTTTGTAGACAGATATGAGTAAAAAAGAAAAGGTTATCACACATTTGCAGTAGTTGTAAATGGTTCTTTATTGTATTAATATCAAACAATTGCTTTATGGTTTTGCAGTACGAAGAAAAAAACAAAAAAATTCTAATTATATGGGCAGTTTTTTTTTGGTTAGTATAATTAACTACAGACACTATGAAAGATTGAATTTTGAGTTCATAGAGTAGTAGCGATCACCCAATACTACCCTCTAATTTCTAGACAAAATGTTTTTTAATGAAAAAAGGTAGTCTGATAAAAAATGGATAACTTTTTTGGGTGTTATTTGTTAAGTATGGAATACAAGTAGATAGACGGCGTATACCCAAATATGGTTCTTCAAGAGTTTTCATTTACAGAATATGACAATGACCAAAAAGTAATGGTTTTCTTCTTTCTTCTTATTATATTAATGTAGTTTTTACAGGAAAAAAAATGTTTGCGTTTATTTTGTAATTTTTTTTTTAAAATAAACAAATACTGTCAGTTTTTTGAGTATTTAGCGATAATAACTGAAATGTTCATGTAGCAACACATTTACATCTGTATTTAAGCCTCTAGAAGTTTAGTTACAGTGTTCAGAAAAGATGAAAAAAAAGGTAGAAAAACCATTAACAACGTTTGAACATCGGCAACCTAATTTTAATGTCAGTTCTTCTACTTCTTTTCTGCCGCTACTGCTGATCTTTCTTCTATTCACCTTTTCTTAGTCAAAAATATATCAGATTTTTTATGACATTTTCAATGAAAAGAAAAAACCCAGAAAGGTTTTTTTTTTTTTTCTTCTTGTTCCTTAATCATTTAAAATCAAAAATTTTCTCACTAACTGTTCTTTCATTTGTCATATCCGTTCAGAAAAAAAAATTTTTCACTCACAGATGAATTTCCGACAAAAAACAAAAGATTTTTTTTTTTTTTGGAAAGAAAAATTGAGAAATTGTCAATTTGTTGCTGAAGAATAGAGATGAATGCAAAAGTTAATATTTATAAAAAAAAAATGATTTTTACACCTTGGCTGTTGTAAATGAATTTAATTTTTATACTCATCGCATATTAAAATTCCCAAAAACCGTTTAAAAAACAATCAGAAAAAGAGATTTTTTTTTTTTTTGACATTTAAATACCGGTTAGGTGAACATTTTTTGAATATATCAGAAAAGCAGATAACAATAGCCAAAGACATTAACAGCAACGACAACAACAACGACAAAACCATTTATTAACGGCTTATCGTTGATGTTATCATTTCTGTGATGATTACAGAATTGTATGTTTGTTTGAAGTAATCACACAAAATTGTTCTTTCTAAAACTGTTGTCTCCTTATTGCTGTATTTTCCCTGAACTCTTCAAGCTGTTCTAAATTCCTCTTTCATTTTTTTTTTCTTTTTTTTGCCGCCTAGACGCTAATATTTTGTGCGTTGCTGTTGAAGAAAAGAGGAGAAGAAAAACAACAACACAAAAAAAGAAGAAGAAAGAAAAATTAATAATCCAATTTTCTAACGATAAAACTGAATGTTGTCGCTGAAAAAAAAAAAAAAAAAGAGACAGTTGATAAACCTATTGGAACAAAAGAACAAGATAATTAACAATCGGTCGGATAGGATCTGTCCTATCCTTTTATGCGCTCTTCCCCCAAAAGCCAATGCGCAATTCACCGTCATAGTTATTGTTGTTGTCGCCGCTGCTGCTGCTGCTGC